TTTCTTTTCCTACGTGGTCGGCTGCAGAAGGGGCTGGGCTTGCGGTGACTTTTTCATCTGAGGATCCAGGATTGCTGAAAACTGACAGTGTCTGGCTTTGGAGAAAGCTACTTTCTGGTGCTGAGGTGATGTACAAGACGTGATTTACTCCTCGGTGGGCTTAGGGTCTCCCCGGAACCTTCTCTAGCCCCTCCCTGGCAGTTTCTTGACTTACAATCGTGGTTCACAGATCATCTTCCATTTTCCAAAATGTTGCCTTTCATTGGGAGCAACCGGCTCATTTGAGGGGAGCCAGCCATGAAATACACAGCATGAGCCAGCCAGCAGAGTTCGTTCGGTCTGGCAGGTAAGGCTCCCCATGATGTCCCCAGCCTTCCTCGTCTGTGTCGGAATCTCCAAGTCCACTTCCTCTTCCCCCTGGTCAGCACCTGGGCTCCCTTTCCCCGCCCCCCGCAGTGGGATGCGGTCGTGCGACAGAGTTCCCGCCAGTGAGATACAAGTGGAAGTGAGGCTTGCCACGTGGTCCATACATGTCATCCACCTGCGAGCCCCTCTTCAATACCTGCAGTCTCTTCACTTCTGGTGACGCGAGAAGACACAAGAACCACAAGATGGGGGAATCCTGGTTCCCAGAATCACCTCCTGGAACGGAGCTGCCTGCTACTGAACTTGATCACTACCCAACATCTCTATCCTGGTCCAGTGAATTTACACACCTCTTCTCTCCCCCACCCATGCTTGTATGTCCTCTGCTTGGAACAGTCTGAGTTACTTACATCCTATCTTAAGCTATGTTCATCTTTTTAAAAAAATTTTGTAAGTGTATTATTTATTTCTGAGAGAGAGAGAGACAGTGTGAGTAGGGGAGGGTCAGAGAGAGAGGGAGATACAGAATCTGAAACAGGCTCTTAGCTGTCAGCGCAGAGCCCAATGTGGGGCTTGAACCCACAAACCATGTGATCATGACCTGAGCCAAAGTCAGATGCTTAACCGACTGAGCCACCCAGGAGCCCCAAGCTATGTTCATCTTTAAAGCCTAAGTCTCATCTCTTTGGTGAAAGATTCCCATAGGCTTTAAGAGACCCATTGTACTAGGGCACCTGGGTGGCTCAGTCCGTTAAGCCTCTGACTTCAGCTCAGGTCAATATCTCACAGTTCATGAGTTCAAGCCCCACATCGGCCTCTGGGCTGACAGCTCAGAGCCTGGAACCTGCTTTTGATTCCTTCTTTCTCTCTCTCTGCCCCTCCCCTGCTTGCCTCTCTCTCTCAAAAACAAATAAACATTGAAAAAAAACTTTTAAAAAGAGACCCATAGTATCTCTTGACCTCATTCATTCATTCATTCACTATTCTCTTAATATACTCTGTGAGCATTTCCATGAATGTCAGGAACTCTGTTGAGTATGCAGAAGAGGAAAACTCCCAGGCCACACTCCATCATAAAGGGTGGTAAGACAAACAGAATAAAAACTAGACGTCACAATCCATTGTAATAAATGCCCCATAAGCCTATGGGAACACGGACAGGGATGAATGACCCAGTTTTGGAAGGGTGGCATTCAATAAATAACAGCCATTGTGATTTTACCAGACCTGGGTTTATTCTGATAAAGTTCGTAAAGATGGTGGGACAATCGATAGCCTCCTGGGTGGCACGTCTTTCTACGGAGTCTCTCTGTTTCACCTCATGTTTTATCCTATGATGCCCAACCATGCCAATGTGTCGCAATCATGTTAGCCACTGGGTGGGAAAACACTCAGAGAAGAAGAGCCTTAAAAATAATGGGCACAAGCCCTCTTCAGAAGTCAGTGTTGGCCTTGGGAGGCAGAGGAAGGAACTTGACATTTATTGAGGGATCCCTGTGTGCCAAGCACACCATCACATGTTAAAAAAGACTTCACCATCACGACAAGCGTATGAATTGGATATTTTCTGTGTGCATGTTTTATAGGTGAGGCAGCGAAGTTTTCAGGGAAGCATAATACTTGCCAAGTTCACGTATCAGGGAAGGGATAGAGCTCCGGACTCCAGAAACCCAACTGTCAACCACAGTGCTGGTATTGGTTCAGAGTCCCGCAGGAGAGAGAAGGCTCACTCCACTGGAAGAAAGGGTAACAAAGGGGCCATTTGGAAAAGTGCATGTGGAGTTAAAGGAAGCTAATGAGCTTAGTGAAAGACCCTGACATTGGCCGTCGCCTGAGGTGTTACCCACTATTGGCCAGAAGAGGTAAGCATGGGGAAGGGGAAATTACTGGAAGGTGAAAAGAGCTGTAGGTGTAAGAAAAGACCTTCAGAAGGGAGACGTGGCCTTGGTAGAGGGACTCGGTCATTGCCGAACTCAGACCCCACGGGAGAGAATGGAGAGGTTAAATACCCCAACCTCTCTCTCTACTCCATTCCTTTATATCTCTTGTAGATGCCTCCCACTGATCCAACCCAACTGGAATCCCAAAGACAAAGGAGCCTGTTGATGCCACCCATCAGGCCAGCCTTCCAGGGCAGAAGTCGATGTGGAGAGCTGGGCTGCAAGGGCGAATCATGTTTCCCCCATGCAGCTCATTTAAATGGTGGTGGATGGATTGTGTACTTTCCAATAACCTTTGTTCTTTCTTTGTACTGTATTCACGCAACTGTATTTTAGTGGGAATAAAAGCATGAGCGAATTTAACAACGTTGTGACCACAGACCATAAATTTCTGCTGCTGAAGGATTCTGGGAGCAGATCTCTCTGGAAAATATGACCTCGAGCCAATGTGGTTATGGTGGAACCAACCAAACTTCCTCGGGCAGAAGGAGTGATCATTAAAGTCTTTGTAACTCTAAGCTCCCTCATTTCTTGGACAGATTTTTAAAATCCACTCATCACTGCCGGGACTGGTGGCACCGAGCACAAGCATCGCTGATTAAATGAAACAGAAGCAAACTGTGTTGGATTAAATAAAAGGAGAAAGAGAGGCACACCCAACATGGCTTCTCCAGGAAGCAGAGAAAGAAGCAGACGAGCCAGAGCCTTCAGCAAAAAAGGAAAAGCAGGAACAGAACCAGGAAAAAAAAAAAAAGGGAAGAAAGAAAACACACACACACACACACACACACACACACACAAAACAAAACCACCCATTTCTGATTTCCTGAGCTTTCAATATGGGGATCATTAACAGGAGCATTCTGGCTAATCTTAATTGCTAGGGCTGAGGAAAGGAATTGCCAGGGTAATCAGACCCCAAAGCATACGGGGCTTTATAGATTAAAGCAAAGTTATCTCCTAATCCCATCAAAACGTCATAATCTTGTGTCACAGCGGCATCTAAACACAGCTGATTGAGATCCCACGAGGGCCGAATCTGGGATCCATCACAGGCCTGCTGTCCCGGAAAGCAAATAACCCCAAATGAGAAGATTGGATTTAGTGTGGTCTGGAGATATTTACTACAAAGGCCGGAGTGCCGGCTCCGTCTCTCCCTCGGGCTTTGCAGGGGAAAAACTCCAGTGTCCCCCAGATGCATCCTTCTTGAAAAAAGTTTTCCCCAAATGGAAATAGATCCATCGTGTGTGCTGATTGTAAAATTAATATGTGACTGCTGTGAAACACACACACACACACACACACACACACACACACACAAATGCAGACAACACAGCGAAATACGGAGAAGCGAAGAGGAGATATGCAGACTCACCAGCCAGGGTAGCTTTTGTTATTTTGGGTGTGTTATCTTTCCACCTCTCTCTGCTTCTCTTTCTAACACCCCCTCGTCCCCCCTCCGCCCCCCCCCCCCCCGCTGACTGGCAACCTCTGCCTTCTAGGTCTCACCATGTTCTCGCCTCCTTTGCATTGTCCCTTCCACTCCTAAGGCAGTTCACTTGGGCCGCATCCACACTCACACGGCTGATGGTGACTAACACAACTTTCGTGTCTCCATCTGTTCAGTGTCATCAACCAGTAGACAGTGACCAGCATCTCTGAATTCCATTTCAGATCCCACAGAGAGAGGCAGCTAGATGTCTTCGGGTCATTGACATCGTATTTATCTCTTTTTTTACATTGTTTTTTAAAAAGTTTATTTGTTTATTTTGAGACAGAGAGAGAGAACACACGCAAACAGGGGGGAAGCGGAGAGAGAGGGAGAGAGCGAATCCCAAGCAGGCTCCACCATGTCGGTGGGGAGCCCAGTGTGGGGCTTGAACCCAGGAACAGTGAGATCATGACCTGAGCTGCAACCAAGAGTTGGATCCTCAACCGACTGAGCCCACCAGGAGCTCCTCCTTTCCCTCTTCTGCTCTTCCTTCTCATTTTCTACCTCCTGGACTTTCTTTCTTTCTCTGCCTCTCCCCTTTTCTTTTCCCTTCCATCACACTTCTTCTATTTCTTTCCGCATTAGAATGCTCTCAATGGCTTCCCTTTGTGGATCAGTCCTTCTGACATCAGGAAAAGCTAGCAAAGTAGGCAAAGCCCAATTACCAGAGCGCTCAGAGAATCCATTCAACCTGCCTTTCACGAGACTCAACATTCAAGGTCTGGAGCCCAGCCTGTGACACTCTCTATGCCTTCGCCTATGCTCTTAGCCTCCATCAGATAAGTTTCCCTTCTGTAAAATGGGGTGAAAAATCTACTACCTCACTTGACATCAGGAAGTTTCTGAATGAGATGAAACATGGCTGCTACCAATATTAGGAAGACATAATGTAAAAGGGATACTCTACTTATTCCGGATAGATCCAGGAAGAACAATTAGCAGTGGTGGGACAAAGTTACAAGAAGATCGAGTTCGGCTCAATGGAAAGGAAAAATTTCCCACAAATGTCTGCCGATGGGCTAGGTCTTCTTCTTTTTTTTTTTTTAATTTTTTTTTAACATTTATTCAGTTTTGAGAGACAGAGAATGAGAGCGGAAGGGGCAGAGAGGGAGACACAGAATCTGAAATAGGCTCTGAGCCGTCAGCACAGAGCCCGACACAGGGCTCGAACCCACAAACAGTGAGATCATGGCCTGAGCTGAAGTCGGATGCTTAACTGACTGAGCCACCCAGGTGCCCCAAGGGCTAGGTCTTCTCCGGAGATCCTAAGCTCTCTCTCACCAAAGTGTCCAAGACAAGGCACACATGCCACGTTCTTGGATGTTACAAAGGGAATTCAAGGCACTATGGACAAGCACTGACTTCTGATTCGCATTTCAGATCTCTTATTCTCGGCATCTCCAAGCTTTTGGTTCTCCAACTCACACGCCTTATGTCTACATAACCGAAGCTTAACTTCACAGAACTATGGGCGGTGGCAGGGAGGCAGGCTGATCTAGAAGTTAAAGTGTCTGACTTTGGAAACACACCTTGCGGCAACAGTAAGGAAATTGCATCACTCCTCTTGGGTTTTCTTTGCTTAGGTTGACAAGAGGCGAACATGCTCTACTCTACCTCCCTGCCCCCACCCGTCCTATCCAGGTAAGGTGGGAGAACGTTCTGGTAATGAAGGGTTGGCTGACTACTGTGATGAGTGTAGGTGTACATGCTAGGGAGCAGGTCCACTATGTGGAGGGAGAAGACATCGAGTCTCCATCCGAGAAAAGGCAGAAGGGAAGAAGAAGGAGCTGGGAAGCACGCTGACACAGGAAGAAGGATTCTTCCAAAGCACTGAGTGGAGAACAGGAAGGAGCCAACGTGAGAGAGAGGACTCGCCTGATGGGAAGGCATCGATCAATTTTTGGGAGGTGACCATACAAACGCCCTCCTCCTTTTGCTCTGTGGGGTCTTCAGTAAAATTTCTGTGGCTCACTAATGCTGCTGTTGCAGGTGGCCATGTTCCACATCGACCTTGGCATCGGACGAAACAGAGAGACCATCGGGGGCAAGCTGACTTCTGTGTTCCATCTGTCAGAGGAATAAAGTGGCCGGTATCTCACCGGATGCAGAGAGCATCTAACACCCAGCAGGCCCTTGGTGAGAGCTCCTTGGATCTGCAAGTTTCCCCTGGAACATGAGGGCTGTCTTTTTCCAGACCAGTTATGTTTTTCTCTCTGAGAAATGACCAGGCCTTTCGCGTTTTGTGAGCATCGGGTTTCCCATTTACTTTGGCCTGGAGAGAGAGTGAGCTATGGCCCCTGCGTCCCGGGGAGCTCTCTATTACCTCTCTCCATCTCTTTCCCCCCACCCTGTCACACCAACGCCTCGAGCTAATTTGGACAACTCGCTTGTTTCGCTGCCTGAAATCCAATCCTCTGGAACATTTTCTCAAAGGAGAGAAACACTAACGAAGCTATTGAATGGAAATGTCCAGCCCTGAGAGGCAGGTTTTTGGAAGACAAGGAGACCCTGAAGTCTTCACTGGGATAGTATTTTCCCACCTTATTTCCAGAAATCCTGTGGTATCTCAGCATGGATCTCTCTCTCTGTTTATCTGCGGCAATGCATGGTAGATAGACTAATTGGTGACTAAGACATTGTCCCCTCTTCTAGGGCATTCTACTCTGGGAATGGCTTTAACAGGCCAATTTGAAGTCATGTTGAAGACACAAGGTTTCCTTTCAATGGGAATTTTGGGGGGCGTCCTATGGCCAAAGCAATGGCCAAAGCTTACTTAGTAAGCTACTCTCTTTTGCTTCCTTCACCCATAACTGAAAGATATGGACCCCTTGCGTCAGGGGAAGGTAGAGATTTCCAAGAAATAGGGTTGGAAGTTATAGTCTTCCTTCTTCAAGCACTAGTGGTGTGGAAAGCATTGGTCTCCAGGTAACTTGAAAATCAGACCATGTTGTCAGCTGGGGTGAGGATGTGGGGGGATGGAATGTGGGAAGCGGGGGGCATGTAGGTTATGAGTACATTACCCGTGAGTTACAAGTGTCTCACTTCTCATTTCCAAACACAGCAGAGCTCTCTGCTTGAGGCTGCCAGCCTCACAGGCTATCATGTCCTCCAAAGCGTCTTTGCTCCAATATGTGGGCCAATTCTGGATTAAACACCCTGGAAGACCTAACTTGGTGAGTACTTGGAAACTTCTTTACATGGCATCTTGAAATCCAGGGTTTTGGAACCGGAAAGCCAGTCAGAAAGCGAACAGCTACCCCAAGAAGCTTCTGTCTCTATGGGCTGTCACCAGGAATCTGAACGTTTGCCTATAAAACAACAGAGAAATCTGCTCAATGTGGAAATCAGTTTGCTAGGTATAAAAAAACAAACCAAACCAAAACGAAACCAAAAACAATTATACAGGCATTCTGGGTGGCTCAGCTGGTTAAGCATCTGACTCTGGGGTTCAGCTCAGGTCATGACCTCACAGTTCGTGAGTTCAAGCCCCACATTGGGCTGTGTGCTGAGCGTGCAGAGCCTGCTTGGGATTCTCTCTCCCTCTCTCTTTGTCCCTCTCCCCACTCTCTCTCAAAAAAAATAAATAAATAAACTTAAAAAAACAGTTATAAATAATAATAATAAATATTAAATGGTAACATAATAAAAACATATCATTACTCGTAATAATATTGTCAATAATTGTTCTTTATCATCACATCTGTAGAATAGTTAGCATATGCCTGGGTTGGACTATGAGAAAAATAATGGATAGCATATATAACAAGCACGTGCCGTGTTTCAGGACTGTCCTCAGACCTTCACGTGTATGAAATCATTTCCACGCAGTTCCGTGAGGCAGGTACAAGTAATGTTTTCATTGTATGTTTCTGAACAAATGCTTTGCCCCTTGATCTATGCCGCCGCCATATCATGTACTAACCTGCCGAATAAGGTCTATTTCTGGGCTTCAAGCACATCCTGCCCGCCCTTCTGCCAGTGCACACAATTTGATGGTTGTAGCTCGATTGCATGAGTATCCAGAAAGGCAAATAGTTTCACCTTTGGAAGGAAATTAAGGGCTAATCCCACGCATTTAGCCGTCTAGATGGACTTGGAAACAAGCTACCTTGACACTCTCCCGTCCTTAACCTGCGCCTCACGAAGCCACCACTGGTATTTTGGTTTTGAATTGCATCGTATCTTAAGCAATCTGGAAGAAAGGACATCTCTTACAAGGTTGACTCGCTTCATGTAAACGTGTTTTTTAATGTGCCCATTAAGAAGGTTTGGTAGTTTTCCGCATGTGGGTAGGATATGTGTTCTCTTATGGTTTTCTCTAGGCGTCTTATGAAAATTGTTGCTTTTTGGGAGGAATCTTTTTTATTTTTCTAACCGCTGTTTGTGGCCATTTAAGAAGCTATTGATTTGTGAATGTTTAATTCAGTATCTGGCAACAGGACTGAGCTCTGTATTGGGTTGTGATTTTTTTAATGGTTTCCTTTATGTTTTCAAAGGTAAAATATTGTCATCTGCAACTGATATTTTCCTCCTTTTTGGGGCCTATTTATCTATTTTTTATTTTGGCTATATGAATTCTTACAGAGCCTAGGCCTTTCAGGAAAAACGTTAAATGTTAATGGTATCAGTGAACATCATTGTCTTATTTTGATTCCAATAAAAATACTTGTAGTAAATTACCATTAAATGACACTGTGGATGTGGTTTTGAGATAGATAATCGTTAGAATTTTTTTTTAAAGCTATCTTTCCATTCCAAGTTTTATGAAAGGATTTTTGGTGAATGGGTGTCATTTTTTGTTTGTTTGTTTTTGCAATGGCCTTTTATGACTCTATTGGGATTGTTATACATTTCTACTTTGCCTATTAAACAAGCTATTTTATATTGTATTCCTAAACTAAACCCTCCTTGGACCTGACAGATCATCTTTTTAATGTAGAATTTAATATAGCATTTACATTAATTAAGTATTAATTAATTGAGTAGATAAGGGGCACCTGGGTGGCTCAGTCAGTTGAGCGTGTGACTTCAACTAAGGTCATGATCTTGCAGTTTGTGAGCTTGAGCCCCGCGTCAAGTTTTGTGCTGACAGCTCGGAGCCTGGAGCCTGTTTCAGATTCTGTGTCTCCCTCTCTCTCTGCCCCTCCCCGACTCACACTCTGTCTCTCAAAAATGAATAAACATTAAAACATTTTTTAAATAGAGTAGTTAATATAGTATGTAGATTAATTATTAATAAATAAATTATTTAAGTGAGGATTTTGGCATCTGTAACTCTAGGTGAGAGTCTTCTGTAGCTTTTTTTCTGCGCCATTCTTGCTACCAAGTTTATGCTGGCTTCAAAGGATGAAGGAAGAAGGGTTTCACCTTTGCCTATGTTCTGGAACAAATTATATGGCATTGGAATGACCTCTTTGTTCCTTGTGAAAAACTGGCTTTGAAATTGGGCTGCTGAATCTTCCTCGGAGATGATGGTTTTGAATATCGTTCTCTAAGAAACTTGTTCTGTGTTAGCCCTCTGCTACCCCGGCCTATCTGATACTTCCCAGAATATTAACATTTTTGTTGAGATATAAGTTAGGGGTGTGGGTTTGTCCAGTAGACTGTGTATTTTTTAAATAGTCTCATGCAAACCGTGTAGCTGAAAGTTAGGATCCAGAATATATAAGGAACTCCTACACCTCACCAGCATAAAGCCCAACCCAATTAAAAAATGGGCAGAAGAACTGAATAGGCAGTTCTCCAGGGAAGGCATTCAAATGGCCAATGGGTACGTGAAAAGGCACTCAACATCGCTAATCTTCAGGGAACTGGAAAACAAAACCACAATGTGATATCATCTCACACCGATGAGGACGACTATGATCCACATGAGCAGAAGAAGATAACAGGCACTGGGGAAAATGTGGAGAAAAGGGACCCCTCATGCACTGTTGGTGGGAATGTAAATTGGTGCAGCCACAGTAGAAAACAGTGCGGAGTTTTCTCAAAATATTAAAGATAGAACTACTGTGCGATCCAGCAATCCCACTTTGGGGCATATAACCAAAGAAGTTGAAATCAAGATCTCAAAGAGATAGCTGACTTTCCATGTCCCGGCACCATTATTCACTATATCCAAGACATGGCTGCAATCGAAACGTCCAGCAGAGGGTGAATGGATAAAGAATATGTGATGCTTACATATATTGGAATATTATTCAGCCTTAAGGAAAGATACCACTTAACTGTGGAATCTAAAATAATCAAACTCATAAAAACAAAGAGTAGAATGAAAGTGGCCAAGGGGTGGGGGATGGGACCCAGGGGGTTGTTGGTCAAAGGGTACTAAGCTTCCGTTATGCAAAATTAATAAGTCCAGAGATGTACTGTATATAGTATATATAAGTATAGTGCCTTATATATAGTATAAGTATATACTATAAGTATACTTATATACTATATATATATAAGAATAGTGCCTATAGTTCACAACACTACATTGTATACTTAAATATTTGCAGAGAGCATAGATCTTATGTGCAGTGTTCTTATCACACACACATGCACACAAATAACGGAGAGGGCTGAGGGAAACTTTTGGAGGCGATGGGTTTATGGCATAGATTTTGGTGGTGATTTCATGGATGTATATTTCAAGTTCATCAGGTTGTATAAATTAGATACTTATCATTTTCTGTATGTCAGTCATTCCTTAATAAAATGATTTTTAAAACCCTCATGTCTCTCTCTCTTTCTTTCTTTCTTTCTTTCTTTCTTTCTTTCTTTCTTTCTTTCTTTCTTTCTCTTTTCTAATATTATTTATAGTTTCTCTATCCTCTCACCTGGATCGATTTTTTAAATATCAGTGTTATTCAATACTCATGGTTGTCAACAACAGCGACCAATCTGCCAGACACCATTCTTAATACTTGACATAGAAGAACTCATTGGAACCTCACAACAACATCAACAGGTAGGTGGTATTATTGTCTCCAACTTACAGATGAGGAAATAGAGACTCAGAGAGGTCAAGTGACTTGCCCAAGGTCACCCCGCTAGCAAGTGATAGAGCTAGAAGCCAAGCCCATATTTCCTCCCTACGGAGCCTGGATACAGAGCTGATACACAATGAATCAATGAATATCTTGAAATTTAAAAGTAGAACAATTGATGTGACTGAAAAGCAGAGGGAGAGTAAAATGATAGCAGAACTGTTAAATAGTGGTGATGGCTTGCCTCCCCCATCTTTCAGGAGAGTTGATCCCAGGGACTTTCACATTCACTTCATTCATTAATCCATTGAACTCACTCTTTTCTAAATATTTATCAAAACTTTATTGTGCTTCTAATAATGATCTGGGCACTAATCCATGGATTTGAGATGCATTAGATAAGCAAACAGACAATAGTCCCTGCGCTGGTGACTCTGACATCTTAGCTATCAGGTTGGAAGCAGGGAGAAGAAGGGGATGGTAAAACTTCCTGCAAAAAAAAATAGTGGATAGCATGGCATTTGGGTAAATGGTTAGTTTGATTCAAGTCTGATGAGTGTATTTCTAGTTATCTGTCTATAGATGTTCTCATTCTACAAATGTTTCAGCAACTATCATGTGCTGGTCCTCGGCGTGGGGGACCAAACAAGCCCCAGATGAGGGAGCTGAGGCCATTTTACCGAAACACAATCATCAAATGCTTCTCCCAGAAGGGATGAAATTGACCTCATTGCCCACAGGAAGCAGGGACATTTCACTGGTACCAGGAGACCTTTAAACAATGACGTGCACACTCCAGGCTCTCTAAGATTGAAAGAGACAGGCATCCCAGTGGCTTTTCCTGCCTCACCTCCCCCTCCGGTCATCAAGGCAAAGTCGGGCTGCAGACGGGCCCCGCTGCCTTCAACACGGGTCTTGCATTAGATGTGTGTCAACAGAGATTAGCTCAGCCCCACACGCCGCCATTCGCCATTTGTTAGGCCACCTTCACCAACCCCGTAATCTAATCTCGGCTGGAGCAGTGCCTTTTCCAGGTTAAATGCATTAAAGGAGCGGGGGGTGGGGGGGTGGGCTGCTCAGGGCTGCGTGGCCTCTCTCTTTCTGACAAGCCTGACCCCACTCCAAACCCCTTTTCCCCAGAGACGCCAGGGGTCAGAACCTCCCCGGTGTGGAAGAGAGCACACTCGACCCAAAAGATGAGAGGATATTGGAAACATATTCCGCAGGCGTCCGCGCTTCGGAAATCCAAGCAGAGCAGGAGGTGACAAGTTAAAGCTTTCACTGCTGGAACTGTTTTTGCCTCTCTAGGTTTCAGCAAGAACTTGATAGAGATGTTGGTGGGGTGGGTGGGAGAGGTGAGGAGGGAAGCAGAGGGAGCCGGGAGCAGATGGTACCTGAAGGCAGGGGAGGGATGTTTTAGACACCTTTCCTGGAAATTTATGGGGGACGGCTCTCCACGGCCCGGCTCCATTCCCATACACGTGTCCTAGAATCATGGGCTAGTTCTCAGACAAATAAACGTTTCATCGGCAAATCTCACCTTGCCTTTTGCTCCGAGCTCCTCTGAAACCTTGACTGGTGTGAGTGGGTATCCGTGTGGCTTGCCGCCATTTGTGCTCCACGTGGAACAGGGTCAGGATGAGAGGGTCTCTTTCCTCTGAGCATGTCTGCTTCTCTGTTCCTGTGATATTCTTCCTGCAGCCGAAGCTCCCCCCCGTTCATCCCTGCAGAGCCGCATCTCGGAGGTTTTCTCTCTTACTTAGTGTCTCTTAACTCTGCTCATTGTAAGACTGATAGCCACTGCCCTGGACCAGCCACCACCATCTCTAAAATGGCACTGAAATGGGTCTCACACACACACACACACACACACACACACACACACACACTCCTCTCTCTGTGCTTGACCCAAGTAGAATCTTAAGGTCTCCACTCCTTTTTGTCTGTTTTTATTTTTTCCATGTGATGTTATTTGTGTGAGCACCTTCTGTGTTACTGTGAGGAGGGGTGGATCTTTCTTTTTCATCGCTGCGTCGGATTCTGCATTGTGTGATTACAGCACAATCACCCCTTCGGCCTACTTTCTGCGGTAATGGGCACACGGGAATTTTTCCATTTGGGGCTCTTATAGGTAACAGTGCCATGAGGGTCCAGGTCGTCCCTTTTGGTGACCGTGTGTGTGTGGTAGGTAGAAAGTGCTTTTTAAAAAAAAAAAAAAGTTTTAATGTTTGTTTTTATTTTTGAGAGAGAGAGCACACAAGTGGGGTTGGAGCAGAGAGAGAGGGAGACACAGAATCTGAAGCAGGCTCCAGGCTTTGGGCTGTCAGCACAGAGCCCGATGCAGGTCTTGACCCCATGAACTGCAAGATCATGACCTGAGCCAAAGTTGGACGCTTAACCAACAGAGACCCCCACATGCCCCGAAAACACTTTTCTTAAGTCACAAAAACCTGATTGCTCCTCTCTTTCCGGAGCTTCAACAGATTCTTATCCCCTTCTGATAAAGGCCCACCTCCTCCCTGTGGCCACCAAAGGGCTGAAAGGTCTGGTCTCTGCTGGTTCCCCACCCTGACAAAGGGTGTCAGAGGGGTGCAGTCAGGACACAAATGAGGGGAGGGGCCCTGGGCGGCTCAGTCAGTTTTGCAGCCTACCTCGGCTTAGGTCATGATCTCGTGGTTCGTGAGTTCGGGCCCCACGTCGGGCTCCATGCTGATCCCTTCCCCACCACTCTCTCAAAATAGATAATAAGTAAGTAAGTAAGTAAGTAAGTAAGCAAGCAAGCAAGCAAGCAAACAAACAAACAAACAAACAAATTAGTTAAGTATGTAAGTAAATGAGTACCGAAGTAAGTAAATAAGTAAACAAGCAAATAAGTAAGTAAATAAATAAGTAAATAAACAGATAAATAAACACATAAGTAAGTAAATAAAGTAGATAAGTAAATCAGTAAGTAAACAAACAAGCAAATAAGTAAATAAATAAACAAGTAAATAAATAAGTAAACACATAAGTAAATAAAGTAGATAAGTAAATAAGTAAACCAACAAGCAAATAAGTAAGTAAATAAACAAATAAATATGTAAGTAAGTAAATAAATATGTAAATAAGACCTGCACCAAACCCCTTAACAATTTCAACAACAGAGATTAGAATCTGCACTGCGGAGAGGGCTCTTGGGAGGGAAGCTAGAGTGGGTCAAGCTAAGCGTACAAAGGAGAATAGTGAGGACCCGAGAGAAAGCTGGAAGGTTCCTGAGAGACGCTTGTAGGAGGGAGAGGGTCTCCGACTCCATCGCCATCACAGGACCTGGGACACAGCCGGTCCTCATTACGTATATGCTGCCTTCTCCCTGCTTGTTGGTTTTTCCTTTAAGTTGAGTCTGCCCGTCATTTCCGGTTTATCGTCCACTTCCTGTCATTTTGTTGAGACATAACTGGCACAGGACACTACGGTGGTGTCAGGTGTACAACATAACACCCCAGTATTTGTCCACATTCTGAAACGACCACCTCAATGGGTCTAGTTAGCATCCGTGCCCATCACACAGGCCACCTTCCTCTTATGGCGATGACCCACGTCTCACTTGGTTTCCGGAGGGTCAGGGTAGCAGTCACGTGGGGGGAACAGCATGTTCCCCAGGCCCGCCCCAGTGTGCCCTATAGCAAGGTCACCAAGGTTCGCGAAGAGCGCGGTGCTTGGCAGTACAGCTAACGGTGAAGGGAGACAGACACCCTCTCGGCAGAGCGCGGAAGGAACGGGTCAGAGGGACGGGCAGCCATGCTTGGAGGTGGTGCTTCCCCATCCCCACGTCGCATGGGGGGGTGGCCTCGAGGGATCTGAATCACTGACAACTTACAGCAGGGGATGAGGAGGCCAAGGGGTTCTGGTGAGTGAGAAAGGTGCGGAGAGGGCTGAGCCATGGGGAGGGATGGAGGAGAGAGCTCAAAGGTGCCTGAGTCATACCTGGTCCCTGGGGCTATGACGAAGAGAAGAGGCATGCTTCTTAGGGGACAAGGCTTTTGAACTGTTCACTCAGGAGAGATAGCTATGCGCCAGATAAAAGTGTCCCAGTCCAGGGAACAGTGACACCAAAGGCCCTAGGGAGGGATCTGGCCTCCCACTAGGGCCAGCAGTCCTGGTTCTTTGGGGCTGGGGGGGCTTGGGAACAGGTGAGCTCAGACTCCATGCTGGACCAGAAGGCGCCTCAGGGCCAGACTCAGGAGCGCGGGCTTTTTCTGAGTTAGGCAGGAACTTGGTAATTCTGCAGTCTAGCTCTTGCCTGGGCGGTGACTCAGTGCTCCGTGGTTTTTCTTTGGTCCTTGGCTCCCGTTCCCAGTCCAGCCCCTCCTCATCTTTCCTTCAGTCTGGGCCCCACCCAGCCCAACTGAGTCATTCCTTCCCCCTCTGGGGGAGGAGCCCGGACTTGCGTGAGTTAAAGCCTTGCAAGGGATTTTGATGTACATTTAATGTAGAGACCCAGTGGATCAAAGAGATTAATCTCTCTTTCTCTCTGATCTATCTATCTGTCCATCTGTCTGTCTGTCTATCTATCCTTCCATCCTTCCATCCATGATCCATCTAAAAATCGTCTCTCTATGATCTATCTATCTAAAATATCTACCCATCCATCTATTCACCTGTCCACTTATCTATTTATTTATATATCCATTTTTAATCAGGCAAAAAAGAAAATCCTGGAAGAATATTAAAACGACATGTTTGTCTCTCTTAGTATAGT